GTCCATACTGGTTTCTCACCCTCAGTTCTCTGCTGTCGCCGAGTCTCCGGATCTGCCCCCGCCAGGGGGGGGAGGGGCGCCCGTCTGGGGGGGGGGAGAGACCCAAAATTCCCAAATTTCACCCCAAAATTCCCAAATTTCACCCCAAAATTCCCACATTTTCCCAAAATTCCCATTTTTCCTCCCAAAATCCCCACATTTTCCCAAATTTTCCCAAAATTCCAATTTCCCCCCCCAAAATTCCAATTTTTTGCCCCCAAAATGAACAGATTTTCCCAAAATTCCCATTTGCCACCCAAAATTCCCAAATTTCCCCAAAATTCCCATTTTCCCTTCCAAAATTCCCATTTCTCCCCCCAGAATTCCCAATTTTCCCCCCAATTCCGATTTTTTACCCAAAATTCCCCCCAAAATTCGTGTTTTTCCCCAAAATTTCCATTTCCCCCCCAAAATTCCCCAATTTGCCCACAAAAATCCCATTTTTTCCCCAAAATTCCCAAATTTTCCGCCAAAATTCCCAAATTTTCTCAAAATTCCCAATTTTTCCCCCAAAATTCCCATTTTTTTCCCCCAAATCTCCGATTTTCTCCCAAAAATTCCCATTTTTTCCCCAAAATTCCCCAATTTCCCCACAAAAATCCCATCTTTTCCCCAAAATTCCCAAATTTTCCCCCAAAATTCCCAAATTTTCTCAAAATTCCCAATTTTTCCCCCAAAATTCCCATTTTTTTCCCCCAAATCTCCAATTTTCTCCCAAAAATTCCCATTTTCCCCCCCAAAATTCCCAAATTTTCCCCCAAAATTCCCATTTTTTCCCAAAATTCCCATTTTCCCCCCCAAAATCCCTCTTTTTCCCAAAATCCCGTTTTTTTTACCCGAAAAGCTCCAGTCCGGGAGGTCCCTGAGGGGGCCGGGCCCGGAGGTGCTGGGGGAGAGGCCCTGCCTGGAAAAGCCAAAATTTGGGAATTTTCACCCAAAATTCCGACGGGAATTCGCTCGAATCCACCCAAAAATCCAAAATTTGGGAAAAAAACCCCAAAAATTTGGGAAAAAAACCCCAAAAATTTGGGAAAAAAGTCAAAAATTTGGGAAAAAAAAAGAAAAAAATGAAGAAAAAAGTTTCAAAATTNTCCCAAATTTTCTCAAAATTCCCAATTTTTCCCCCAAAATTCCCATTTTTTTCCCCCAAATCTCCAATTTTTCTCCCAAAAATTCCCATTTTCCCCCCCAAAATTCTTAAATTTTCCCCCAAAATTCCCATTTTTTCCCAAAATTCCCATTTCCCCCCCAAAATCCCTCTTTTTCCCAAAATCCCGGTTTTTTTACCCGAAAAGCTCCAGTCCGGGAGGTCCCTGAGGGGGCCGGGCCCGGAGGTGCTCGGGGAGAGGCCCTGCCTGGAAAAGCCAAAATTTGGGAATTTTCACCCAAAATTCCGACGGGAATTCGCTCGAATCCGCCCAAAAATCCAAAATTTGGGAAAAAAACCCAAAAATTTGGGAAAAAAACCCCAAAAATTTGGGAAAAAAGTCAAAAATTTGGGAAAAAAAAAGAAAAAAATGAAGAAAAAAGTTTCAAAATTGTGGGAAAAAATATTCCCAAATTTTGGGAATTTTCGCCCAAAATTCCAATCGAAATTCCCTCAAATCCACCCAAAAAGTCCAAAATTTGGGGAAAAAAAAATCAAAAATTTTGGAAAAAACTCCCAAAATTTTGGGTAAAAAAAGCACAAAAAAATGGGGGAAAAAATACGCAGAATTTTGGGTAAAAAATACAAAAATTTGGGGGAAAAGGCAAAAATTTTGGGTAAAAAATTCCACAGAATTTTTGGGGATGAAAATTTCAACATTTTGGGTAAAGGAAGCACAGAAGTTTGGGAAAAAAAATGCACAAAAATTTTTGGGTAAAAAATAGAAAATTTTGGGTAAAAAAAGCGCAAAAATTTCGGAAAAAACCCCAAAAGTTTTGGGGAAAAAAATCAAAATTTTGGGTAAAAAAATCCACAAAATTTTGGGTAAAAAATACAAAAAGTTGGGGCAAAAGCACAAAAATTTTGGGTAAAAAACCAAAAATTTGAAAAAATAATAGAAAAATTTCGGTAAAAAATAGAAAAATTTGGGTTAAAAAAAACCCCAAAATTTTCAGTTAAAAAAATAGAAAATTTGGGTAAAAAACCGTAAAAGTTTGGAAAAAACCCACAAAATTTTGGGGGAAAACCGACAAAATTTTGGGAAAAGACCCCAAAATTTTGGGTAAAAATGCAGAAAATTTTGGGTTAAAAATCCACAAAAATTTTGGAAAAAATCCCCAAAATTTTGGGTAAAAAAAGCACAAAAATTTTGATGAAAACCCCAAAATTTGGGTAAAAAATCCAGAAAAATTTTGGGTAAAACCTCGAAATTTTGGGTAAAAAAAAAAACCACAAAATTTTGGGTAAAACCCCCTAAAATTCAGAAAAAAAATAGAAAAATTTGAGTAAAAAATACAAAAATTTGGGTAAAACCCCCCAAAATTTGGACAATTAATAAAAATCCCCAAAATCCGACCCGGAACCTCCCAAAAATCCCCAAAATCGCGGGAAAAACCCCGAAACGCGGGAAAACCCCCTCAGCTTCCCGCCAAATCTTCCCGCCAAGCCGCGCCCCCCGGGCCAAGCCACGCCCCCTTTACTCACGCCTCTCGCCATTGGCCGATCCGCTGCGGGGGGCGGGGCAAGGGGCGGAGCCATCGCGCCTGGCGCTCCGCTAGGGGGCGGGAACGGCGCTCAGCGAGCCACGCCCACCTCCCCACAAACCACGCCCCTTTTGCCTCAAAACCCCGCCCACCCCCCAAAAAACCGCTTTTAAACCCCGCCCGCCGCCCCCAGGCCACGCCCACCGCCCCTCCCCCCCTTTAAACCCCTCCCTTCCCCTCCCCCACCCCTCAGGGACCCCCCCGGGCGCTCCCCCGGGTCGCACCGAGGCGGAGAACGCGGCGCGCCGCCATCTTGCGAGCGGCCGGAAGTGACGTCAGCGCGCAGGCGGCGCGCCGGGCTGATTCGCCTCATGGCCGCCATGTTGTACGGCAAAAACTCCAAAGAGCCGCCATTTTGTGACTGAGGTTCTCGCTGGCTCCAGGCGCCGCCATGTTGTACGGAAAGGAAGCGGAAGCGCCGCCATTTTGAGGCTGAGATGATTTTAAAGGGGTTTTTTGCGGCTTTTAAAATAATTTTTTATTTTAATTTTTTTTTTTTTCCCCCCCCCCCCTTTGTTTTCCTTGAGTTTTAGAGATTATTTTTATTTTTAAACATTTTTTAGGTTTTTTTTCCTTTTATTTTCAGATTTTTTTCAAAGTTTTCCCCCTGTTTTTGGTGATTTTTTAAGGTTATGTATTTTTTTTAAATTCAAAGGTTTTTTTAAGGATTTGTTTTCTACTCTTTGAGGTTTTTAGAGGACTTTTTGAAAAATATTAAACTTTAAAATATTTTATAAAATTATTCGAATTTTTATTGCTTTTTTGGTGCAATTTGATAATTTTTAAGTTTTTTTTTTGTATTTGTGACTTTTTAAAGGGATTTTTAAATTTACTTTTTGACTTTGAGGCGTTTTCACCTTTTCTCGCGGAATTTGATTCCTTTTTGAGCTTTATTTTTATGTTATGACTTTTTAATCGCTTTTTGTGGAATTTGAGACGTTTTTCGGTATTTCTTTATTTTTGCATTACTTAAAATCCTTTATTTTTAAATTTGTAGCTTTTTACGACTTTCCTTTAAATTTTAAGCCTTTTTACAACTTTTTTTTTTTTAATTTAATTATTTTTGTGTTTCTTTTTATGTCTCCCCCCAGAACCGCATTTTCACCGCTTGTACGGAATTATTTTCCCCTCACGGCCGCAATTTTATTCAAAATATTGAAAATTTGGGTGTCTTTTATAACATTTTCAGTGTTTTTTATCCCTTTTTATTCCGTATTTTAAACAGCAAATCGCAATTCTGCTCACTGCGCATGCGCAGCCGCCGTTCTACACGGCAAACCCGCATTTTTACATCTGCGCATGCGCGGCCGCCATATTGTACGGCAAAACCTCCGCGCGGCGCCATTTTGAGCAGCAACCCCTGGCCGCCATTTTGTACGGCGCATTCCACTTTCACCGCGCATGCGCGGCTGCCATATTGTACGGCAAAACCACCGGCGCGCCGCCATTTTGTAGAATGCTCCGCGCTCTCTTCACGCCGCCATTTTGTACGGCTTCACCACAGCGCCGCCATCTTGCTACGGCGTCTCCCAGCAGCCAAAAAAACCCCAAAACCACCCAAATTTTCACCCAAATTATTGAATCTGGCGTCTCGTTTCGCGCCTTTTTTATTTTTGGGGGTGACCCCCCCATCCCGCCCTCAGCCCAGCGTGTCCTTCCAGGGTCTTTTTGGGGGTTCCGAGGGCGCCGTTTTGGGGGGGTTCAGGGGGTTTTGCGCGAAGGTTTGGCGGAGCGGACCTGGAAAAGAAGAAATCACCGAAAAATTGAAATTTGGGAGGGGTCCCTGAGGGGTTTTTTTGGGGATTTTTGGGGGTTTTTGGTCACCTTTGGCCGCCAGCTGCAGGTGGTTCCTGAGGCGCCACTGGCGCCGCTCAGCCTCGTGCGTGGCCTGGGCCTCGCGCCACTCTGGAAATTTTGGGGAGGGGGAACCCCAAAATCACTCTGGGGGGTCCCGAGAATGGGTCAGGGGGTCCCAGGATCGAGTTGGGGGTCCCAAAATTGGGTTGGGGGTGCCGAAATACCCCTAAATCCACCCAAAATGTCCCAAATTCACCCCTAAATTGTCGCAAATCCGCACCAAAATTCCCTGAAATTCACCCAAAATGAGTCTGGGGTCCTGAAAATGGGTCAGGGGGTCCCAAAATCGAGTTGGGGGTCCCAAAAATACCCCTAAATCCACCCAAAATGTCCCAAAATTACCTAAATTCAACCCAAAATGGCCCAAATTCACACCAAGATTGTCCCAAATACAGCCTAAAATTCCTGAAATTCCACCCAAAATGAATCTGGGGGTCCCAAAATTGGGTTGGGGGATCCCAAAATCGAGTTGGGGGTCCCAAAATCTGGTTGGGGGTCCCAAAATACCCCTAAATAGAGCCAAAATGTCCCAAAATCTTCCAAATTCGCCCTAAAATACCCAAAATTGTCCCAAATCCGACCCAAAATTCTGTGAATTCACCCAAAATTACTCTGGGGGTTCCAAAAATGGGTCAGGGGGTCCCAAAATTGGGTTGGGGGTCCCAAAAAACCCCTAAATCCGCCCACAATGTCCCCAAATTACCCAAATTCAACCCAAAATAGCCAAAATTGCCCAAATCCACCCCAAAATTCGCCAAATTTCCTCCAAAATTCCCTGAAAATCCCCAAATTTCCCCAGAACTCCCCAATTTCCCCCCCAAAATCCCCAATTTTTCTGAAATTTTATAAAATTTCCAAAATCCCCAAATCTTCTCAAAGTACCCCCCAAAAATGCCAAATTTCCCCCAAAATTGCCAAAAATCCCCAAATTTTCCACAAAATTCCCAAAAGTTTCCTAAATTTTCATAAAACTCCCTTGCTTTTCACCAAAATCTCCCAATTTTCCCCCAAAATTGACAAATTTTCCCAAAATCTTCAAATTTTCCCGAATAATCCCCCAAAATCCCCGATTTTCCCCCAAATTCCCGAATTCTCCCCAAAATTCCCAATTCCCCACCCAAATTCCCAATTCTTCCCAAAAAAAATCCAGATTTTCTCAAAATTGCCCAAATTTTCCCCAATTCCAACAAAAATCCCAAAAAAGTTCCCCAAAGTCCCCCCAAAATTCCTCAATTTTCCCCTAAATTTCCCCAAAATCACCAAATTTTCCCCAAATTCTCCCAAAACATCCCCCCAAAATTTCTCAAAAAATCCCTCCAAAAACCCCCAAAATTCCACAAAACCCCCAAAACATCCCAAAATTCCCCCAAAAATCATCAATCCCCCCTAAATTTCCCAAAAATCCCTAAATTTTCCCCAAATTTCCCCAAATTTCCCCAAAACATCCCCCCAAAATTTCTCAAAAAAGCTCCTCAAAATCCCTCCAAAATTCCACAAAACCCCCCCAAAACATCCCAAAATCCCCCCAAAAATCCTCAACCCCCCACCAAATTTTCATAAAATCCCCAAATTTCCATAAAACCCCCCAAATCCTCCCCAAAAATTCCCAAATTTTCCCAAAATATCCCCCCCAAAAACCCTGCAAATTCCACAAAATCCCTCCAAAACTTCCCAAAATCCCCCAAAAATCGCATAAATTTCCCCCCAAAAATCCTCAATTCCCCCCGAAACTTCCCCAAAATCTCCAAATTGACACAAAATCCCCAAATTTTCCCAAAACCCCCCAAATCCTCCCCAAAAATTCCCAAATTCCCCCCAACTTTCCCCAAAACATCCCCCCCTAAATTCCACAAAATCCCCCCAAAACTTCCCAAAATCCCCCAAAAATCGCGCAAATTTCCCCCCAAAAATCCTCAATCCCCCCTAAACTTCCCCAAAATCCCCAAATTTTCCCAAAATCCCCCCAAAAATTCCCAAATTTTCGTTTCTCCCACCTTTCCTCAGCTGCTGCAGGATCCCGGGCTTGGCTGGGGGGGCGTGGCCGGGGGGCGTGGCCTGGGCCGGGGTGGGCGTGGCCTGGCCAAAAGGGGGCGTGGCTTGAGCGGGAGTGGGCGTGGCCTTGGCCGAAGGGGGCGGGGCCACGCCCAACCTGGCGCGGAGGGCGGGAACTCGCAGCAGCCCCGTCTGCAATAGGCTGAAGCCGTTCGACGTCAGCCAATAGGTGAACACCGCCTGCGGAGAACAACCAATCAGAGGCCAGCACCCGCCCAGGGGGGCGGGGCTTCGGCGCGAAGCAGGAAGTGGCGAAAAAACCCCAAATTTTATGGAAATTTTTGGGATTTTTTTTTGATTTGCTAAAATTTTTCGGGGACGTTCGGGATTTCAGCGGAAAATTTGCGACTTTTTTACGAAATCTCACAAAATTTTTGGGTAAAAAAATCAGAATTTTGTGGAAAAAAAACCGATTTATTTTAGGAAATACCAAAATTTTTATGGAAAATTCCAAAATTTTGTCAAGATTATGGATTTCTTTAGGGAATTTGGAAAATTTTTTTTAATTTTTAAGACTTTGTGGAAAAAATCCCAAATTTTTTAGGATATTTTAAGGTTTTCCATTAAAAATTCTGAATTTTGTTAGAAAAATCCAAAATTTTAATGGAAAATTTCAAATTTTTTTCAAAATTATGCATTTCTTTAAGGAATTTGGGAAACTTTTTGAACATTTTCGAGATGTTGTGGAAAAAATCCCATAATTGTTAGGAATTTTTAAGGTTTTACATTAAAAATTCTGATTTTATTAGTAAATTCCTTAATTTTTTTTTCATTTCCAGATTTTTATCAAAATTCTGAAATTCTTGAAGAAATTTGGGAATTTTTTTTGGAATTTTTGAGATTTTTGTGGAAAAAAATCCCAAAATTTTTCCAAAATTCCCAAACTTTGGGGGAGGAATTCTCAGGATGGGTCGAAACTCACAAATTTTGGCGGGAAATATGGAAATGAGGGGGCGTGGCCAGGGAAATGAAGGCAGGGCCCCTTTAAATTGGCCACACCCCTTTTCTTAAAGTGACCACACCCTTTATTTTGGCCACACCCCCTATTTAAATTGACCACGCCCCATTTTAAATTGGCCACTCGCCCTTCTTAAAGGGACCACACCCATTTTAAAATGGCCACACCCCTTTTAAAGGGACCACACCCCTTTTAAAATGGCCACACCCATATTTAAAGTGACCACACCCATATTTAAAGTGGCCACACCCCCTTTCTTAAAGTGACCACACCCTTTATTTTGGCCACACCCCCTTTCTTAAAGTGACCACACCCTTTATTTTGGCCACACCCCCTTTCTTAAAGTGACCACACCCTT